TCGAAAATTTCAGTCAAGAAAGAGAGCAAAGGAGAGTTGGTGATCTCTTGAACAAATCACCTTTTAGGGCGGCAAGATAGGTTCTTCAAGAAAAGGGAGGAACAAGGGAAAACAGGAGGTTTTCCCCGTGGACCGACCCGTGACGAGATCCTATTCCCAGGCCCATAACAATTTGGTATCAGAGCAAGGCGTCATGGGTGACCTTGAGCAGTTGAAGACTAGGGTTCAGGATCTGGAGCTCAAGATCATGGAAAACAACACGGAGGTGCGCAAGATCAAGGACGACGTCCGAGAATTAAGGCGCTTGATGGAGTTGTATTTTTCCAGCAAGGAAAGGAACCCGGAAGGGGCTGCAACCACAACCGGCTGCCGACCAGACGTGGCAGAATCGTCGGGCGAGCAATAGGTCATTGACCTAGCGCAAGTTAGCAACACCCAGAATGTCCCGATTAAGCAGGAATCCGGTGTCGTCGAGGTGTCGCAGAATCTTGGGATTGTATATCTTCAAGTTGTTGCAGGTGCTGGGGCAAGTGCTGGTGAAGGAGCTTGTATGCCTCATGTTGCGGCTGCAAGTGTTGCAAAAGAGTGTTTGTTAGCTGCAGTCAGATCAGATCCTAGGGCTGCACATATCTGGGTAAATCTTCCTAATGCATACTATTTGGCTGGTGATCATAGAAGTGGTGGAAGGTGCCTGGAGAAGGCAGCAAAACTGGAGCCTAATTGCATGTCAACTCGATATGCTGTCGCGCTTCATCATATCAAGGATGCAGAAAGGAGCTTGTATGCCTCATGTTGCGGCTGCAAGTGTTGCAAAAGAGTGTTTGTTAGCTGTAGTCAGATCAGATCCTAGGGCTGCACATATCTGGGTAAATCTTCCTAATGCATACTATTTGGCTGGTGATCATAGAAGTGTTGGAAGGTGCCTGGAGAAGGCAGCAAAACTGGAGCCTAATTGCATGTCAACTCGATATGCTGTCGCGCTTCATCATATCAAGGTTGCAGAAAGGTCTCAAGATCCCACTGAACAACTTTCATGGGCTGCAAATGAAATGGCTTCAATACTCAGAGAAGGGGACTCTGCAACAATTGAGCTTCGGATAGCATGGGCAGGACTTACCATGGTTTACAAGGCTCAACATGAAATTGCAGCAACGTTTGGAACTAGACATAGTGATTTGACGGAAGTGGAAGAGCGAGTTATCTACACACTAAAGCAAGCAATAGAAGAGGATCCAGATGATGCGGTTCAGTGGCACCAGCTTGGCCTTCACAATCTTTGTACTCTACAGTTCAAGACATCTCAGAAGTACCTTAAGGCTGCAGTTGGCCGCGGCAAAAAATGCAGCTATGCATGGTCAAATCTTGGTATCTCACTACAGCTGCCTGAGGATGAACCCTCTTCATTGGAACCCGATCCAGGAGGGCAAAATCATTCCACCTATCCGGGATTCCTTTGACTGTGTTTCAAGACACCCATCATGAATTCGAGCTTGAGGACAAGCTCGTAGTCCAGGAGGGGAGTAATGATGTGGGCGCCGGCAGCAACAACAGTAATTTAGTGCTGCAGCAGCAATAATTTAGTGTTCTCAGCAGCAACAATTTAGTGTTCTCATCCGATCTTATCTATTCAGTATTCTTACCTTATCTGCTTTCAGTAG